CATTCATGTTTCTGCTCCTTGTCCCGCTGGGACTGTTACTTCTGCCCATTCTCCGGAGGGAGTGAAGTGCTGCACTGAAAGAAAAGGGCAGTTCAGAGGCTTACACAGGCTCCTGTATGTTGAACAGGCTCTTTTGCTCAGCCTTGCTCATCTAAGGGCAGAATTTGGACCAAAGGGTTAAAAACTTGCTGCAGAAACTATTTAAATAATTGGGAAGCAACAGTATCATGTAGATGCTATTAAAGAATTGTATCTTTTGGCAGGTGGTCGAACCCTGCAGATTCTAAATGCACAGGAGGACAACGCTGGAAGATACACCTGTATAGCCACAAATGAGGCTGGAGAAACTTTGAAACACTATGAAATGGAAGTCTACAGTATGGAAATACTTTCAACTTTTCTAACACTTCTGTTTTTCTTTGCATTCTTCCAGTTTTCCCCTTTGCAGTGTTACCTATCCTGGTGAATACAAGGATTTCTGTTAGTACCTTTGTTTAGCAAATGTCTGCGTTAGCTCATGGCATTGCTTGAGGAAACGCACTAGGACAGTTTGCTATTGCAACCTTTACAAATACTGCTGTTGGGCTAAAAATCTTGGTACCACTGAGGGGAAGACATTTCAGAAACATTGAACTCCAGTTTCTTCTGAAATAATTTCTTGGAAATGATTTTCAAATCAGATGAGAGCAGCACAGTGGGAGATGTGAGCAGAGAATCTCATGAGGAAAGAAACTATTTTAGAAAAAACTATTTTAGAAAAAAAAAAAAAGGAGGGGAGGGGACTTGTAGCATTGAACAGGAAGCTTTCTCGAGTAAGGTAAAACAGAGGGATACTATTTTTATACCCTTCCATAAAATACCATATGCACAAAAGCTTTCTCATTCAAGGCTTCCTGTCAGCACATTGTCCTTTGAGCATCTGTGTCTAATACTCTCTTTTAATGTTCAAACTCTTCATTACGAGCTCAGTCAAGCATGATTTTTCATCTTTTTTTTTTTTTTTAATTTCCTAGTCCGAATTGGAGTATGGTTTGCTCCCTGACAGTAATCATGCTGTTATTTTAATTACACTAAGTCCCTAATAAAGCCCCATTGGATTCAGAATAATGAGAAAATGACAAAAGAGTTCATTATTGAAGTATGGCTACATAGCAACATAAAGCTCCTCCACCCACAAATGCCATTGCAACTCTCAGTGGTTATGGTACTGTAAGCATTAGGGAGAATTTTAAATTTCGAACTGAAACAAAGAGTGGAAAATGCTCTGAAAGCATTTAAAATAATTTAAAAGATATTATGAGACCAGGGTGGGGGGTAGCTTAAGAATTTTGAGATGTTTTGTTTTCATTCTGATTCAGAAGGAAATGAGATTTTGCAACATTGGGATTTCAGTGGAATGGAAATGTTGAGTTTTGATCAGCTACTCTGAGTGTGGACTTCAGTTCAAACATATGTTTCTGAGAATATTAGTTTCCCTTAAAACGCTTTTTAATGACTGCAGCACACTGAACTTTATAGAATTCAAGCCAAACACATAATAAAGTGCTGTAGCTAGGTAAGGCTGTAGTTAGGTTTGCATGTCTAAAACTGTTCAACAGTTTTATATATTTTTATCTGTAATACATATACTAAAAATAGCTTTTAAATCAAAACTAAAACCAGCTTTAAAATCAGCTGTAGGGAAGAGGCAGATTACAGGGGGAATGCACTTGCCTTCCCTGAGGTTGTCATCCAGCTTTTCCTGTTGTCCAGTTAATTTTTAAATGCTGCGTGAGACAGTAAGTCATGGAAGTCCCTGTCGCTCCCTTTTTTTTTTTGTGCAGTTCCACCCACCATTAACAGAGGGGGTATCTCAGGGATGGGTCTCTCCCCTAAAGAAGTCAAGATCAAGGTAAACCACAGCCTTACCCTGGAGTGTGAAGCTCACGCCGTTCCTGCTGCTGCCATCAGCTGGTACAAGGATGGACAGGCCAGTCACAAACTTATTTCCTTCTTACTGGTGGATTTCGTACAGAAACAACTGCATGTTTGCTATCGCTGAACATTCATGCAGTGTAACATCTTCAGCTGCACATTTTGGGATGTTGGCTGTTGGCCAAACCTCCACAAATCGACACCCTTGCTTTTTTGTAGGTGCTTGGTGGTGCCATGGAGATGTCAGTGCTGGAGTTTCAGGGGCTTTACCACTGGCTGGTGCTTTAAAGGGGGAGGGCCCTGCCCAGCAGTAGGATCCTGTGGAATGGCTAAATGTCCCTTTGTCGTTCTATAACAGGGCCTTTAGGGATTTTACAGAAAGGCACCGTGCTTGGTTCCTCTAAGTGCTGCCCTTGCAGAAGTTGCAGAGAGCCTCCCATTTGGTTCTGGCAGAGCTCACAAAGCTGCATCTGGATCCTCCAGATCTGTGAGGGGGAATGCAGCATGGTTCCTGCCCCCCCAGTCTTCACAACAACATCGGTCTGGAGGAAGAGCAGTTTGGAGGGGCAGTGCCCCAGAATTGTACTCATGTGCAGTCTACTGGGGGCTGGCTGTAAATAAAAAAGAAATGGTGCAACTCTTACATAAGAAAGGAGAATATAATCACTGCAGCTGTTCTTGGTAGGGCACTTAGCGTGTGGCAGACTGCTGCTCCTCTGGAGCTCACCAGCTCCTCATGGATTTGGTGAGAATGCAGAAACAGCCTGGAGTCACAGGAGAGACAGTGTATACACCCTCCGTCTGTTTGGAGCATATGCTGTAATCCTAGGATCTCCTGGGTATACTGATTGTATTGCCAAGGAAAAATGATGCTAGGGGGAGTTGAGAGGTCCCCAAAGAAAGACTGTGGCTGTAAGCAGCTTACAGCCGCTGTCAGAGCAGCAGCTTTTTCTTAGGTTGCCTCTGGGTAAATGGATTTCACTTGCATCCATGGACTAAATTCATTGTCCCCTGCAGGTCAGGAGTTCAGTGCTGACACCCTGATGTGTCTGTTTTCATTACTGAGAGCTACAGGCTGGGTTAATATAGTCTCTACTGTCACGTGTGATGTAAGGTCTAGGGACAGTAACATCTAATGCTGCATATCTCTGCCCTGCTGTTGCATCCGTTTCACGTTCAGACTGTGCCCTTGCTGGGCAGCAGACCCTAGTGTGGCTGTAGTGTGAGTTAGATCAGGTTGTTCACCTCACAGAAAACTGATAGTTTTGCACGGGTAGGTTTTCCATCAGCTCATTGACTTGGCCAGTGAGTTCAGGGATTGAATCAGCCTCATTTAATCAGGTGTTGTGAGAGCCCTTGCCTGAAGGGGATTGCATTCTCCTTTCTGCAGCACCTTGCAGCTGGTCTTAGGAGGGATGTAAAATCACATCCTCTCAGGACCAACTACCAAGATCAGAACGGTGAAGATGCGTAATTTCTGACAACCATGAAAAAAACTTCTCTCTGGGAATTTGGAGCTTGGTCAAGTTTACTCAGGGAGGACAAGCTTTTGGTTGGAGGGAAAGGAGGCGCAGATGAGGGGGGAGCTGTGCTGCACCACCTCTGACCAAGGCTGCCACTCCAGCAGCACCTGGCTTAGCACTGTGTCCCAGGTGGTGACCCTCAGTGGTTTGGGGTCCTGAGCAAGTGCTTTCTTTGCGTAGATTGAAAGCCTTGCTGGGAGGAGGTTCTGTCGGTAGGGGTACCACAGCAGAGGAAATACCAAAACCAAAACATGCTCTTCCTCCCAGTATACTGTCCTAGGAAGGATTTTGAAACAACCTGAATTTGACCAAAAGAGGGATGACACCATATTACTTCCACAAACATAGCTATTTTTAGTGTATGTTTTGCCAAGTGTTAATTTCATGTAAAATTACATTACAGCCGCTTAAACCAGATGATCATGTCATGCTCCAAGTTAGTGGCCATACTGTGCACATTAAGGAGGCTCAGATATCAGACACTGGTCGTTACACTTGTCTGGCATCCAACATTGCTGGAGAGGATGAAGTGGAATTTGATGTAAATATACAAGGTAAAGAGAGTTCAGATAAGAAAATTCTTCTGGTAGCCTCCTTTTCTAATGTTCTGGGATGTTGGAATTCTTCATAACTTTGAATGCTTTATACCTGCTTGGTCTAATCCAATGCTTTTGTGTTTTCTGTGATTTTTATTTCATGTAGGTTTTGCTCATCTTTAAGAAATACAATATTTGACTGTTCTTTCTTTCGTATTTTGTGACACTTGCAGTGTTTCTGAAGTCAGTGGAATGATGCAGTAACTCTGATTTTCCTCTGAACTACATAAAAAGTTGTAATTTAGCTTAAACTAAGATCTCATATTTGATTTATCTGTTTTGAGTGGTACTTAGAGGACCAAGACATAAGCATCCTGCTGGCCTACACACTCTGTGTAAATACAGTAAATCAATCATGAGTAATTTCTACATATTTAAACAAAATTAGAACTTGAGTAAAACCAGATAGCTTACTATTTAAATATTACTGTTGATTAATACCCTCTGTGTTTTGTTGTCAGGTCTTCTTAAACTGTAATTTATGAGCCTTTAGAAAATATTCAGTAGGTTGCTCAATTGTTCATTCTGATGAAAAGAACTAGATTTTCCCTGGCTAATCTAAATGACAATTTTTATTGCTGCTATTTAACAATTATAGTATCTTTTCATGTCGTGACTTAAAAACTAGCTATGTCTGCTGTAAAGTTCTAACGGTGTTCCCCTCCTGGGTTGTAGTTCCTCCTAGTTTCCAAAAGCCTTATAAGGAATGGGAAGACGGAAACAGGGTAGACACAGGAAGAGGTGGAGAAAGTAAAGATGTGATTGTCAACAATCCCCTTTCACTGTACTGTGAGACCAATGCTGTTCCTCCTCCAGTTCTTACGTGGTATAAAGATGGTTATCCTCTGAGCTCTAGTGATAAAGTACTAATATTACCAGGTGAGTATTAAGATGTCGCGCTCTGACCTTAAGAAATGGCATTAATGCTAGTATTTGTGTAGTAAACTTTCCCCCTTCAAAACACGGCATTAATGTTCTTTTCAGACTTTTTTGACTGGAAATGCTCTTTTGCAGTCCTTTGACTAAAGCCGTTTCCTTCTTTCATTTAAATAGTAGCCCCTAAAATGGTGTGAATGTGACCATTTAACTTTAATATGATGTGTTGCAAAACAAAACACAATGATACCTTCTCTCTGATGCGTTCCTGATTTATTTCCTTATGAAGTTGTGCTTTGGCAAGACCATGATTGGAGTAGAAAAGCCTCTTAACCAGGGTGTGAGGCATGGAAATAAAGTTTCCAGCAGAAAAATGGTCAGGAGCTCTTACTTAACCTCATATGGGAAAGGGAGAAGCGTGCTTATAATGCTGAGAGGGAATCTTTCTGTGCAGAGGATGGTTTGGGATAGCGTGTGTGAAGAAGGGCAGCTTTACCAGAATGTCATGGCCTTGCATTCCCTTTTGCCTATTAGTTCTCTGTCACCATGCTGAGAAATATTTCTGGGTTTGATGGAAGAATAATGTCTGGCTGTGTATTGCTAAAGAAGGTTATTCCTTTCTACGGAATTAAAGAAGGTTATTCCTTTCTATGGAATTAGTTACTCTTTTCTAGTATTTCAGTATGAACATAGCTGAATTCCAAGAATCTGTCAGTAGAAAAAGTAGCTAGGAAATAAAGGTCTTTAGTTACTTACAACTCAGAACAAATGCTGACCATTCATAATTTTGCTTGCTTGGGTCTCTGATGAAATACAGTATGGAAATGATGGAAACTGCTTGATGCTGCATTTAAATCTTGGATGCGTTTTCCTTCAAGGAGGTCGAGTGTTGCAGATTCCACGTGCACAGGCTGAAGATGCCGGGAGATACATGTGTGTGGCAGTAAACGAAGCGGGGGAGGATTCCATTCATTACGATGTCCGCGTGCTCTGTGAGCTTTCCTGCTTTCCATTCTCTTCTTAATTACAACAAAAGGGTTCTGTGGAAACTAGTGAAGCATTACAGTTCAGGTTTACTTAATGTTTTTAAAATGTATACATTTTGCATATTTGTAAACTATGAAATTGATGTGTTTATGTAAGATGCTAGTTTAATAGAAACATACAGAATGGCATGAAAATAGTGTTAATATTAGTTCAGTATGGTTTTATGTTATAGTTACAGGAACTCTATTGTGTTATCCCTATCAGACTTCAACCAAAAGAAAGGTATATGTGAAAATCCAGGTTTTATCTTGGTGTCTCTTGTGCCCTATCCAGTTCCCAGTTCAACCTTCTGACGTACTAGACTTTTTTCTCTCCTTATTGTGGTCATAATTTTCTACAATACCTGCCAAACACCCAAAGGTGTAAGGGAATTGATGATACAGAGCAACCGTTGGATGTTGGCAGAGTCCATTTGGTATCATCTGTTGACAGATGTTGCACAGAAAGCTTTTGTATGCTGCTTTTGTTGCCTGTTCATGTACTCAAGGTCTTTGTCTTGGGAGGTGCTTATTTTTTAGCTGTTTCTGCATCTACCACTGAAAGCACTGATTTACTGTTAGGAAGCAGGCCTGCCTTGGAAATCCTCTTTTGTTCTGGCAGCAAAGAACATGATGGACCAGCTGGGAAAGGAGTTTTCATCTTCTCTGCTTTATGGCTGCCGTGACTAAGCGTGCTTCTCCTGCAGTCCCTTGAGTGACACTGATTTGTCCCACCTAAACTGCTCTTAGGATTTAATGACCTTTCACTTACGCTGTTTTGCTCTTTTGAAGTACCTCCGTCCATCAGTGGAGCTGATGCCGATCTGCCCGAAGAAGTGACTGTGCTTGTGACCAAGGCTGCAGTGCTGGACTGCGTTGCAAGTGGCAGCCCTTCTCCAAGTATTACCTGGCAGAAGGATGGCCACCTCCTAGCAGAAGATGAGAAACACACATTTTTGTCCAGTGGAAGGAGGTTACAGGTAGCCCTTAAGTGAATAACTGATTTTTAGCATCGAAAACACAAGCTGCCCATAAAGACAAAACTGTTTAGGTTTGCTGAGCAGGAAATTCTGATTTTATTTTTTTTTCCTAGAACATGCAGCAAACCTGAGGAGGTTTTGTCCATTGTTCCTTTCCCTCAGCTGTTTCTTCCCATTCCTCTGTAGTTGCTGACCCAACTGTTTGTGGGGTCGTGCTGTGAACCACATCAGTGAAATCACTTGGTTTAAAACAATGTTGATTTTTGTGCAGAATAATTTGTTGTTGTCAGTTTTGTCCAAGTTTCCCTAACAGAACTATTGCAAAATACACTTTATTTATTTATTTGAAGAAAATAGTGAATTTTGAAGAACATGCCCCACTCCCTAATCAATGGATGATGTTGGATGAAACTGTTAAAACAGTTACAGAGCTGAGCTTAATTCTCTCCATTTTCATAGCATCACCTAAGAATACAATAAAATATGAAGAACATATACATAGAGAGTTCTATTTCAAGTATTTTGTGACTAGTTGTTTTGCTACTCAGTTTGAATAAATTTCATGCGAAAGGCACTATGTTGACTTTTTTGGAGGTTTGGGATGCACAGATTTGTGTAACAAATTCTAAAAGCAGTAGCATCAGCGGAAGTTGCTCAGGTTGGCTTAATGCAAAGGCACTAGCAAAAAACCAAATCAAACCAAAAAAAACCTACGGACTTGCGGGCCCCAGAGACCTTGGGGTCTTTAGGAAGACACCAAAACTTGATGCTTTAACTGTAAGTTGTCTTAAACATTAGCTCAAAACCAATCTTGTTTCTTTTTCTTAGATTTTGAATTCCCAAATAACAGATACTGGCAGGTATGTCTGCATTGTGGAAAACATAGCTGGAAGTGCCAAGAAGTACTTTAATCTAAATGTTCACAGTAAGTACAATAATCCATAATTTGCTGATTGTCATCTTTGAAATGGTGATCGAGCTTGAATGTGTTAATTTTAGCAGAGAGCTTAGGCACACGCTTAGCTTTATGTGTGGAAGTTGTTTTATTGGGTGTAATCAAGATTCTCACATACTAGAAAACAAATACAAATTTCAGGTACCTTTGCAACAGATGACTTTTGATACCCCATGGCTTCAGCTCTTTGTGTGTATTCAGCATAGGTGGAAGTTATTACTGAGGGAGCCTTGTGTAGTGCCTGTGTGTGAACACTGTGTGGGTGTCACTAAACCTTGAAATCATGAATTACCAAGAGGTTGGATTATAGTCTATTTTGATATGTTTATAAATGTGTTTTCTAAGAATATTTATGATTAGAAAGCATTAAATAAAGAGATATGACATTTTAGTAGCTTATTTTTTTAAAAAAAATACCCCTTCAAGATTTCTTTCTGTTCTTTGTTGTTGTTGTTTAGAATAGGGTTAAAATAGATTTTGGCCTTCAGTGTCACAAGTCTAAAAAATAATACAGTCAAGAAATTAAGATTTTTTTCTGTTATTTTTAAAATCAGTCTCTCCACCACCTTCCCTTACCTCTCCTGATAGCTTCAGAAAATCTCAACTAACATTTCAGAGTTAACCGTAACTTCCCCTTTTATTTCTGCCTGCTCTTCCTTCCACCATTTTCAGCTTTCCACATTGCATTGAACATCAAATAAACATTGCTCCCACAAAATTGTCTGCACCATTACATTTTAATGT